GCTCTCCATGAGACACACAGACAGGGAGAGAGAAGCTGGGGGTCAGAGCGCAGGGTCGGGCATTTATACAGCACCCCTGGAGCAGCTGGGGTGAACGGCCTCGCTCAGGGGGCCCCAGGGAGTAGGATTCCTCTGCCGGCCGCGGGATTCGAACCGGCAACCTCCCAGCCACAGGCGCAGATCCTGAGCCACCGAGAAACCACCGAGCGTCAATTAAAAGGCGTACTGTGTGACCAGAGGTAGACAGGCTTTTACGGTGATAAAGGCCATCCATCCATTTTCCAACCACTTTATCCAATTCAGGGCCATGGGGGAGCCAGAGTCTATCCCAGCAGGCAACAGGTCGCAAGGCAGGGTGCATTGTGGGTGGGACGCCAGTCCATCACAGGGCACACGCATACACCAGGAAAAAAATCCCCAGAAGCCAATGAACCCGCCAGCATGTCTTCGGACTGTGGGAGGAAACCGGAGCAGCCGGAGGACACCCACGCGAACGTGGGGGAGAACATGCAGACTCCGCACAGACAGCACCCCAGCTCCGGCATTGAACCCAGGGCCGCACTAGTGCGAGCCAGCAACGTGCAACTGTGTTGCCCCCATGGGGATAAAGCACGACATTAAAATTTAATCGGTATCCAGTGTTTCTCTGCAGTAACTTGTGAAACCTCCAATTTCCGTCACAAAATAGGGGAAATTTCCAGGTCTGCGCAGCGCCGTGTTCTGCGATTCAGAACGACGACAGGCGACGTGACCCTGTTACGTTGGAAACGGCGCAGTACGCGGTATGCGATGTGAAACAATCCAGCTGAAATATCGCTCTCGACTTCCAGACGGTTTTATCGACGCACACTACTTGTTAGCTCTGCATACGGATCAGCGAAATGTCTGCTGCCACAACCTGTCCTTATCCGCTCGTCCATCACAGTGCCTCAGTCAGTGCAGGGACTAGTGAGCAGGAAGGGCCGCCTCACCTCACAGTTCTCACCAACTCCCAGTCTCGCCCCCGTGGAGAGACCCGGGGCTTTGCGACAACATGGTGACTACACGATTTCCTGCTTCATTTTGTAATCCGCACGTTGTGTTCCGTTCCACCAACGAATTAATTGTGTTACCCACATTTCCTCGCCGCTTCTGAGAGCCATCGGGACTGCAGTCCTCCTCTAACTGGAGAGAGGGTGGGGCAGCGCCGCACACCCCCTT